ACTATAACTATATCTACAACTACAACTATATGTATATAACTATATATATATAGAGTGGGTAAAAACACGGCCACAAGTACTGCAACAGGCACACGACAGTGGGACACAAACCGCCCATCAGTAGAGCCATAAAACCCTAAACAATTCTATTAGTTTATAGGTTCGAATGCAAATAAATATTTGCATCTATATACAAGCTCTAGGCGTTGCCCGTGTCCATGCGCAGATGTACACTTAGCTGCCCACTGAAAACACTTATTGGAAACTGGACATAGATTTGCGAACTCTTCTTTCCAAAGAATAATTGTAATCCCAAGAGACGCAATCATGGGGCTACACACACATCTCATTCTAGAGTTCTATAGAAAAATTGGACTTCGTACGTAGTGCCTGTCCCTACATACAACAAACACATTCAAGGTCTCATCGATAGCACTCAACAAAACAGAACAAGATGCCATGCTTACCGGATTAGTGGGAATAGAACAAGATGCAATGCTTTCCGAATTAGTGGGAACAGAACAAGATGCCATGCTTACCGAATTAGTGGGAACAGAACAAGATGCAATGCTTACCGAATTAGTGGGAACAGAACAAGCTGCAATGCTTACCAGATTAGTGGGAACAGAACAAGATGCCATGCTTACCGGATTAGTGGGAACAGAACAATATGCAATGCTTACCGAATTAGTGGGAACAGGAACACCGGCAACATAATGGCCAGCACAGCGTTAACAACCGCAATAACTGCAGTGGTGTAGAGTGTACGAACATTCAATATGAATCAATAAGGACCTCAGCACGATTCCGTGGACAGACACGGGTACTCGGTAGGATTCAGAAGCAAGATGCCACAAACGAGTGTGGAGAATATTATTGGCCTGTCGTGAGTGATTTTTCACCTCATCAAATGAACTTAAACAGTGCAGCAGATAAGTACATACTAGCACATGTAGTGATTTGCTTTATGCACGGATGTATAGAACAACACGTCGCCATTGCTCGTAACGTTCGTCGAGATGTTGCAGTAGTCGAGGGCGCCAGCCGGGATAAAAGTCAGACTGAGAGGTATAAGCATTCGTATACAAACACAAGCACTATACACTTGGTATTAATTAGAAATTATTCAAAACTAATCACACAGGCATATTCAAAACTAATCACAAAAACTGAGAGGTATACGCATTCGTATAAAAACACAAGCACTATACACAAGGGATTTATTAGGAATTGGGGCTTATCACAAAGGCATATTCAAAACTAATGACTAAGGCATATTCAAAGGTAGTTGATATATATATTTGATCGTAGCCAAACGATGAGAATGCATTGTTCGAACCATCAGTGAAACGAGCGAGGGTGAGACTATTGCAAGACGACCGAACTGGGAAGCTGTAATATGCACAAAATATGCAACACACGATTGCGCGTCTATACCTGCATATCAAATCAGTCACATAAATAGACACATATGTTCGTGCACCCACAAAACGAACTCACCAGCGTTACTGGCGTCCGCAGAGCTGTTTACGCTGGTTACAATCACGCCCGGGACGATAGCAAGACTGCGTGTTATGAGCGAACGTTTCCACGACGCTATGCGCAAATGCACCAGACCATCCATGAGGTACTGTCCCGTGAGGGTGGTTGTGATACTACCCGCCTGAGAAGTTAAAAGACTTGAGAGTCAAAAAGCTATAGTTCGATACAAAAGTACATGAAACAGACAATTAAATGTGTAGTGGTACGCGATTCCACCACTAATAAGCAAAATTTTCACATACATTATGGATATCACGTACATACGAATAGGTAATATTGTTGTGAGAATCTATTTTTATACGTGTGCGTGTTAGCGTTTGTGTGTTAATATTTTTTCGTTATGCGTATGCTAGCAATCTGCTACGTAATAAAAACTCAGATGCAACTACAAACACATTCCTAATGATATCTACCTTATTACACCGTACAAATTTATCACTATAATGGACATATATACATACATGTACAGGTACATATATTTGCCGTGTATATACAATACTGACAATGTAGGGATACTTCAACATACATGATGCGAATATCTAATTGATCTGTTCCATTTGTATCCCAATGCAGCTAAAAAGGCATAAATATGATATAAATACATACATATATATATATTTATGTTACATGTAAATACCTACTTAGACATATGTGTACGTAAATGTATTTAATATATGTGATAATATATATATATATAATATTAATAATAATAATATATATATGCATGCATAAATATATTTTTAAGCATACGTTTATAATATAATAATATAAATATATATATATAATAATATATTGTATAATTTTATATAACAATACGTATAGATATACATAATATACATACATACATACATACATATATATAAATGTGTATGCTTACACCTATACACACACAAACACATATATATATATATATTTGTGAATATGAAATACATAAATATGAATATATATATATAAGTGAAAGATTACTTGTGCCGACGCCAACAGAGCGATAGCCCACATATACTTCATGAAACCGTTCTGGAAGTAATCAGGGAAGTTTGACAGTCCCACAGACGCTGTATGTGTGACAGAACAAGGCAGGCGGAAGTGAGACGTGTGAGCTATCTGTCAAGCTTCTCTATATTAATAATGGTCAGACATGGCAATTATACATGCGATATATTGGTCAGATTTGAGATCATTCAGAACCAGAAATATTATAAAAGTTCAGCGGCTTATCTGCAGGTATATTCCGTAGTTTTCTAGATGGGAATTGATAGGCAGGGCTCATAATGTGGCATGAGATATGTATCACCCGTTCGCGCAATGGCTTACAATGCTGCATATTGTCGTCCCTGAATGTGCGCGCATTGTTACTTGTAGCCGTAGATCGTTTAGGTCAGCCATTTGGGAGTCCATTGTGCAATGAGGAGTTTGACTTCCATAAGTAGCTGTACACAATGTGCACAACCCCCCCCCCTAAAAAATGTGCCAGCCGAAACACAGTCTACTTTACTATCATGATGGGTCCATTGGATGAGGAAACACTGTCAAGCTGGAGAGAGCCAAGGACAACCCCACTGTAGCACGCACTGACTCCCACGTAGTATCAGCAACATACAAAACATGTTGCATGCTGACACTTTTATTGAGATACCAACACAACACTACACATGCAGGCTTGTCCCAGCTTGTGCTTTTCGATTTCGACCTTATGTACATACATTCACATACATGATCACAGCCGCAAGCCGGGGTTACAAAACAACGACATCATAGCGATTTAGAACCACAACGAATTCCAACCCACAACTGCACATGTCATCATCAGATATACTCAAAACTTTAGTTTCATACTTGGATCAATATATAATGGATCGGAGGGATCTAGTTGACCCCTCGGGTAGATCAGCGCTGCTGCGATGCACATGATGGCCAGACTCATAACAAACGTGAAGAGCACGGGCACAACCGGTTCCAGCATAGCAAACCACAGCCTCCGTTTCTGCGTAGTGTAGGGTTATAATCGAAAGTTCAGTTTGGAGTAGAAGATGCGGCAGTTATATATATATATATACATATACATATCCACACCCACACCCACTTATATATATATATATACATATACATATCACACCACACC